TCAAACATGCTTCCGCGAAAGCTCGCGATGGTGTGCGCGAAAGGAACTTTGGATTCCCGCGAAGGGGTCATTTCGTTATGAAGTAATTTTGGGCAACGCCCATTTCAGTGTTTTAGGCGTTGAAGTTGTTGCGTTGAGGGTTCTGTTCTTGTGGGTTTCTGTGTGGGGATGGCGCCCAGCATGACATGAAGTGGGACCACGAGAAGTTAAGGACGGCTGTTACAAGTTCACGGAACATGGATGAAGCTCTGACGGAGTCTAGCGGTATAGGAGAACCGAAACTACATTGCATGGAGTAGAACAAATCACGTCGCCCCCAACAAAGACCCAGGTAGCGGAGTTAAAGCGATAATTATGTTTTGTCCATGCACCATCAGTTCCCTAGGAAGAATGGTTCTTGGTTTATTCACGCGCGTTGCTGGGATTATCGGGGACTGTTGCTACGTGGGGCTGATCCTAGGGTACTGGGTTTGCGGGGGTTTATGTCTTACCCTGGCAGAAGCACGGTTCTGTAGAGCTGGTTGAGATACTAGTACGAGTTCTTCTTGGGCTGCTTGTTCATAGTATGACTGCTTCTTGATAAATGGGGATGACACACTGAAGGCCTCTTCCCTTAATTCTTTCCTTTCCCCTGCAAGCCTCTTTGTTCTGAAGTGTTCGCATACCCAATTAGCAGGATTTAAGGCTCTAAGTCTAACCCTCTCAAAGGCTTTGGACCTGTAACCTTTTGACTGTATTACTTAGAGCTTCCCTCGCGTGCAAATTGGGGGAGTTTGGATGGATTTCTGGCAGCGTTAGAAGGTTCTACAGGGGATGGAGTTCCAACATACTGTAATTTCTAGAGTATACTGTGCGCACATATATGTATATATATATATACATACATACATGTATGTTACATGTATTCATAGTGGTCTGCTCATGATGGTACGGAGATCACTGTCAGTGCTTGTAGTGCAGGATCCACGCATCCTCCCACTAGCAAGGTATTCTATGGCCCCTAGTAGTCTTTACGTATGCATTTTCAGGGAGTTCGTCTTTGCTTGGACAGGGGGTACGTCACTTTGGGTGGGCCCCTGATCCCCGAACCCTCGTTCGGGAGTCTTTAGCCTTTCTGTGAACAGATTAGGCCTGCAGGATCTTGTTGCAAGTCCCTTGACCTCTTAGTACCCTTGCACAATAGAATCAAAAGCTTCGGAAGTTTACTCCCTAAATCCTACATCATCCCGGCCCTTAGAATCCTAAGTCCTAAGACCAAACCCAACCCTCCTCCAAAGCATAGCTCCCCAAGTAAGACTTTGAAACAGAAGTTCTGCCCCCAAAACCCCTGAATCAATAAACTTCTACCTGCCTCCCAGACACTTCCCGAATCCTCGAAGCAGCAAGCCTTGGAAGGCAGCTGGAAACCAGCGCTTAAAATCTTAAATCACTAATCTCCCCCTTAAACCCTCAATCCAGCTCTAGGTCATGCTTGGGAACTCCAGAAACCCAAATCAGGAATACAGATTTATCCCCAAAAATGAACCAGAACCAGAACCCCCCCCCATAGAAAGAGCCTTGGAAGGCTGCTGGCCTGGGTTTGCGACATTGTCTCCACCTTTCGCCAGACCCGCGGCCTGGACCGCGCTCAGGCCCGCGTCTGTAGTATATTCTAGAATATTCTAATGCATTATGTTGTATGTATTGTTGTATAGTATATTATAGGATTTTGGGGATGGGATGTAGAGGGTTTTGGGTTGTAGGGTTTGAGGTGTAGGACTTAGTTAGCATTCCTGGAAAGAGGTGCGCGTATTCTTGAACACTGGGGGCCCATATGCAAAGCTTTTCTCAGAACGGTTCGGAGTCACATTAAGGGCCTGTTTCTATTGCGGTAGCAACCGGGGCACTGACTCTCAGATTTCTGTTGGGGCTAGCATTTAGGATGTGGGATGGAGCTCGGGAGATAAAGTTCAGGATTTCCAACATTTTGGAAGTCCCCGCCAAAATTCACTGGAACTATGAATCCTGTGGACCTCCAGACTGTTCGCGTGAAGAGCCCAACCTGCACCCCGAAAACTTGACCTCAAGAGCGGGAGGCTGACATATCCGCTTGGAAACGGGCGACACAGCGCGCCATTGGTGCCCTTCGGCAAAGGAAGTTCGGGTTAGGGGTCCTGTGTGTAGGTTACAGTGCGCTGTTGATAGCCCAAATTTGGAATTTATCGTAAATCTCCAAGTCGGTTCTCTACTGTAAGGCCTTAGGAACCCCACGGTCCCACAAAGTAGGGTTCAGGCTCTTGGGGCTAGCACCCTGCACCTACTGGCTGTCACTCGGCCCTGGCGTTGGGTTTTCCGCCTCTGTCGTCATTGTCAGCATCCTCATATGAGCTGAGTTTCATAAGATACTGGTGTGTGCAATTGATCTGGACGTCATGAATTTTGAGTTCTACCCTGTGCGTCGCTGTTCGAGTCGTCGTGGTCATAGTCATGAATAGCAAGAGAACCAGCCGAGCATGCAACTCTGAAAGTCAAGGCTGGTGCTGTCGTCTTCGGCCCGGCCGCGCGAACCCAGGTCATCGACATCTTCGCCAGGTGCTGCAGGGACATGGGTTCGGGAACCGTATCTGAGCGCAACCTGGAAACCACAGCGTTCTCCTGAAAAGGTTGCTGAAAAGTGAACAACTTTTTTGCATGCTTGAAGTCTAAGTAGCTAGTAGCCAATGTCACCCGTTTGCCTGGTCAAGGCAGAGGCAGCGCCTGTGATTCAATCCATTGACAGTTAGGGTTTTAGGGCTTCGGGCCGATCATGGAAGCAGTGGTACACTGTTTTGTCACCACACTATGACGGCCAGGCTCTGCACTCAGGCTGACGAGCAGCGGTTTTGAGGCTGTGTCTCATTTACCTTCCAGGGAATCAGGGCATAGCTTGTTTGACAATGCACTGACATCCTCCGGCAAGTTGCAAAAACTTAACGTGCCAAGCGTTTTCCCAGCAAGAAAGAGTCGACAAGGAGGGACCAATCTAGAGTTCAGCGACCGCATCATGCGCTCATTCAGAACCTCAAACAGGTTTCTCAGAGAAGGAGTCTCCAAAGGTCTGTGGGAATGTGTCGGATTGTTTGGATATACAGAGATCCCCTCAGCTGTTAATTATAGGGATGGCTTTGAGAAACTCTTGGATTAGAAGACACTCAAAGACTTTAAGTTTGTACCCTTAATGTTTGTACCCCTAACTACCCGTATTGAGGGCCATATTCCATGGTTTATGGACCCCAAACCCAAGGGTACAAACCCTAAGGGTACAAAGGAAAACTCCTTGAGACACACTGCCAGTTGTTCCTTCTCAGGTGCTACGACGACTTGTTGGCGAACTCCGACTTGGTCCACGCAGAGGAGATAGACCGAATACTTTTCCAGGCCGGCCTTTGCTGAAAGCTCACAATTTTCAACCGGCATTGCTAGGCCGAACCCTAAACCGGCCCTGAATCCAACACCCCAAACCCCAAACCCTGAAACCTAAATGAGCCGCAAGGCGAGAAGCAATTAATGTGCCCGTTCCGAGATCTGTAGGATCCTGATGTTCAGTAGGGGTGAGGCTCGAACTCTAAGTTCAAGGTTCGGAGCGGGAGGCATGACAGTGAGCGTGGCAGGGCCGAATGCAAAACGTGGGTGTTGTGAAGTAGGTTGGTGGGCACCTGGAGTAAGGTCACAGGTAGTTGTACTAGGGATGTCAGGCAAACAGTTTTTTAGTTTTCCTATTTACAAACATTTGATAAACTCAATAGATAGCAAAATCATTGTTTTGGCAGGGTTCAAAGTAAATGTGAGACGGCTTAAACTAGCTATGAAACTCAGAGTTTAACTTTGCTATGCGACCCAAGACTTTGAATCCTCAAATGGATTCTGCCAGCCCTGAAGTTTTTTCAAGTCTGCTTCATATGACTGCGTTCTGCTTGTTTCTGCTCGCCTTCGGGCTCTCTACCTGAACTCTGAACTCTAAACTCTCCCTATACCCCCAAACTTACACACCCTGAACCATGAACCCCGAACCACCCCAAACACCAAACTCAATACACCTCTTAAAAGGGCTTAATTAGGGGGTATATCGAGGTATATCCCTATTTACCTTCGAAGGGACACAAGGCCGCCCGGTATGTGCTCTTCGATATCACTACATACCTCTACAAGGGTTTAAGGTGTATATCCCTATATGCCTTTAAAGGGACCCAAATCCTCCAGGTGGGCATCCTGATGGGCGCAGATCGCCGTTTGAATCCGGCCGCGCTTCGACAGGCTTCGCAGGGTTAGGGGGTTAGGGGTTGGGGTATCGCATTAGGAGGTTATGATGCGTGAGGGTGGTTACGGTTGCAGGATTAAAGGTTTCAGGGCTTTGGATTCAGGATTTTAGGGTGTCAGAGTGTCAGGATGTAGGGTTTTAGGGCGCCAGAGCGTTGGGTTTGCTAAGGTTTGTGCTTTGGGACATCCTTCTAACGGGGTTCAAGCGGATTGTATAAGAGATGATAGGAAAACAAGGATCCCTCAGGCTTTAGAGTTGACCTTGTGCAGGGTTTGAGGGTTTGGGGTATAGCATTTTCTGTAATCTCCCACCAGGTATGCTGCGAGAGAAATTCACATGCACAGGGGTCTAGGACTTAGGTTTCAAGGTTGATGGGTTGTATGGCTTAGGGTTGAGTGGTCTGGCTGTGCGGTTAATGTTTTAGATTTAGAGGGACAGGCTTAGGCCTCAGGGTTTAGCTTTTAGATTTTCGGGTGCTGTCTGGGGAGTTGGGTCTCATGTGGGTGGTTGACTCGATCACTTTATTTATGTATGTCTGTATGTACGTACGTACGTACGTAGGTATGTATGTACGTATTTATGTATGTATGTATGTATGTATGTATGTATGTATGTTTATATATATATAAAATATCTGCGTAAAGGTATATGAGGCAGGAACCTTCATGTACAACGTGATGTTTTCGGTTCCTTTAGGTTCTTCGTACATATGTGTACATATATAACATTTCCCCATGTATTTTTGTATTTTCCATTTCATCCTTCAAGCTCTACGAGGCTGGCCGGGTTGAGGATTCTGGACCCGCTACGGGTCGCAACTTGCCGCCTCTGATCCGTGCCTCTTGTCCTGCTCAATGGGTGTTTTGTTTCAAGGTGAGGACTTCGAGTTACAGATTTGGGATTTAGGGGTTCAGGCTTTGGGGTTTGGGGTTCAGGGCATGAGATATAGGGTTTGGGGCTTAGGGTTTAGCAGGGAGCTAGGTCCAGCTAGGTAAGATTTTAATGTTTCAGGAGAACGGACTTCTGAGGGGGCCACAAGGCTGCGTGCTTAGATTCTTAACCTAAATACCGAACCCCAAGCCTCGACATGCTGAAGTGCAGGGTTTGGAGTTAAACCTAAGCCTTCTTGAATTGAGTTTGCGTTTTTGGTTTGGGTTGCCCAGTCCATTTCTGTGGGAAGGTGTCTAGATCAGGGTTCATATTTGCCCCTCAGGACTCACCCCTGTTTAAGAGCCATTCCCTTGAAAGGCGGCGTAATGGGAATAGCTATTCTCATAAAGGAGGTGAGGGGGGTTTAGTGTCGCGAGGGGAAGGGGGTAATTACAGGGTTTTGGAGGTGGGAAGGAGGCATTTAAACCGCAAACATGGAAACCTAAATCTGGAATCCCTAAGCCTTTGTCCCCAAACCTTGAAGCCAATGTGGGTGGCCATTCCGAAGCTGCACACAGACAACTGCCCGCTGAAGCTCTCAGGGTTGCGGCAGTGCGCTGCACCAGAAGCCCACTGGTTGGCAAGGAGCCTGAAGAGGCGCCAAGAATTGTGTGCACAGAGTTTTGACAAACTCCCACAATCTGAGGACTTCGAGCTTAGTGCCGCACAGGCGAACCATGTTACCGAAAGGGCATTCAAAAAAACGTCCGCAGATGTCTGCAAAGAAAGGCCAGCCAGCGCCCTAATCTCAGAAAACCTCTGTAGTCCTTTGATCATCCTCCCTAGCCCTATCCACATCATTTATGTACATACTTGTATACATACAAGTATGCTCATGTGCCTCGCGCTTCTGGGTACCTCTTTGAGAAAACTCAAGCCCTCATCCCTGGCCCTAACCCCCCTACCCCCTACCCGGCAGATCCTTGTAAACCCTTTGAAGCCCCGACGCCGAAGCCCTGTAACAAAACAAACCCTCAAAACCGCCAAACCCCAGGTTGTGGGAGCCAACTGAACGGGCAAACACAAGAGAGTTGCCTGCACAGTCCTTCTTCGACCTTGGGTCTCAGGCCCCAGCTCCTTGGACAAGAAGATGTTCCTAGAGCTCAACAGTAAGGTATGATATGTATGGGTATCTTACATACGTATGTACAGTTTGTGTATGCATGTGTGTCGGTATATGCGACGTATGTATGTACGCATTCGTTGTCTTCGACTGAGTTCGGACCCCCCTAGCGCCAAAGCGCGAAGATCGAGAGTACAGTAGAGGTCAAAAGCCCTTTGGTGGTAGAGCTTTCGTGGAATTGGATTCAGGGCTTAAAAACCTCGAGTTTACGGCCTCGGGAGCTTTCGGTTCTTGGCGGTTCTTTGGTCTTGCATGTGGTGCTCTTCCCGGCGGTGCGGAAGATCCCCAGCAGTCGCGTCATCATTTCGTCAGGACCTTAAAGGTACATAACCCCCACCGTACATATGGACATCTCTCTCTTCATCACGTCTTTAGTATCCCAGTATGACCTTGTGGTATGAAATAGAGGCTAGTGCGATGGAAGACTTGTCATCAACATCTCCAAGCAACTTTCCATGAAAGCACGTTTGGATATTTGTCACCTGAAAGCAATGTGTATCATCAAGAAATCACCTCTGTCACATCAGCAGCATGTGCTGCGATATCACTTCGTACTATCACAAGTTGACATGCCCAAAACCTACTTTCACTCCTTGAGGTCGGCAGTTCCTCTTGGCCGCACCAACCTGCGTAAGCTCAGTACGCTAATTGGTGAAATACCACTGGGCACAAGACTTTGTTTTGACTATGACTTTGAAGCTCCCAAGCACGCCTGGTGTTTTTGAGCATTCGTTGCAATCTTTTGTCCAAACCTTTCTTTGCAACCATGTACATGTACGGGATTTTGGAAGAAATCCCTACATCATCCGTACCAGGACCCCTGCCTCACTACAGGGTGCAGATTCCTATACGCAGAATATAAAGTGAGGCCCCAGATACCTGGAAAGTATGGTCTTTTTGCCCAGTCTTTCTTCTTCAGTTCCTCTACCCATAAGTCTCAAGCTTTTACGCCCTGACCAGGAACGGGCACCCGGCATCTACACCCTCGAGCCTTAAAATATGCGGCTGGACAAGGGTACACCTTAAATCCGGTGTGTTCCCAGGATGAGCGATGGGTGTGGGAACCTACTTATGACTGGCTGCAATGGTATTTCCAGGTCAGGGTAGGCGCAAATGCACAACCCTGAACCCCACAAACCTTTGCAGGACACAGGCAAGGGTACACATCTGTTCAGTTGTAGAAGCTTGCAAGCCCAATGTTGTCCTTGAATCCTGACTATAGAATATAGTGCAATATACTGTACCAGACAAGCCAATTCTCGAGCAAAAAGGCCCACATTATTCAGGTCCCCAAAGACAGACTGCCTTCCTCCGAGGCTGCGACGCTTGAAACCGACGTGGCCTTCTGGGTTGCAGGGTAATACGGTCATATAGTAATATGGTAGTATACTTATATGCTGATATAGAAATATAGCAATATAGTGATATATAGTATTCTCGGAATGCATTGATAGTGCAATATAGACATATGGTACAAATTCGGCACTGTCATAGGACGATAAAACAGTCATATGTGCAAAAGCTGCAGCTGGCCCAATGCCCTAGATCTAGATCTTCTTAACCCTTCTCCGGTCTGACAAGCCCTTGGACTGCCTCCCGCAGTGCAGGAGGCGGCACAGGTTCCCTTGCAACGGATTTAAAATCAGTAATAGTCATAATGCTAGTAACAGTAATAGTAATAATAACAAACCATCATAATAATCACAGTATGCTGCCCTCCAGTTGCGCGGAATGCAGCTACTTACTCAAAGACCTTTAATTATTGGAGGTTTTCCAAGGCAGGTACATTGGTCTTTACTGGGAATCTAACCCTAATGTTACCCCAATATACCCCCCACTATAGTCTATAGTAGTTTACAGCCCCCATATAATCCCTATAATCCTTAGACAATACTTCAGCCCTGTAGCTGCAAGCTGGGGCCGCGCCGGAAGGTCCTGGTAGAAGGTATTCAAAAGCCTGTTTTTCCGCCCTGGTGCGACATGCTTCTGGGCATGCGACCGGTGCTGCTCACGTTGCAGGCTAAATACTCCAAGGGCCCAGACACTCTAAACTCGGTGCAATCTCTAAGTTCTAAACCCGATATGAATCCTAAACCTTGTATGCGTCTTAAATCCCGAAGCCCCCACGGGAAGGTGCAACTTTGGGAGGTTTCCAAATTTGGCAGGTCTCTCTCTTGGGGGAGCTCTTGTATCAGGACCCTTCGATTTTGTAGACGATAGATGATTCCAGCTCCTTGATGTCTGAATGTCTGGGCTCTTATACCCAAAGATCTCCAAGTGGTTTGGGCGCTCTGATGTTCTGCTAGCTCCAGAGCCGCCGTGAACCTTTTCCAATGTAACTATAGAGCCTTACGTCTACTCTGCTGGCTTCCCCTACCTTGCACTGACAGATCTGGGCAAGGTCCTGCAGGCTGCAGACGGGTCGTGGTCCAAATTTCTCAACCCGCCCCTGGGTGACCCTTTAGCTGGGGATCCTAAACTCTGAAGCCCAAACACTACACTGAAAAGACCTTGAACTCTACACCTGAAACCCCGGAATCAGGAACTCCAAAGCCCTAGACGGCATTCGGACCCTGAATTTGGACCACTTCCCAACTGATGGCCTGACGGGATAGAGGAACTCAGCGCAGGAGAAGAGGGACGCACAAAGAACGGGATCTTGACAGTTTTTACCCAGCCTAGGCCATTTAGGCTTGACTGCCTTTTCAGGGTTGGAGCTGATATGATTATTGTGGTCTTGTGGGAAAATATGCATGGATGCCGATGTTGAAAAGTAGCTCCACAGCGGTGGGATTAAGCTGTATTTGGTGTTGGGGGCAGTGCCGTTGGCAGGTATAGCCGGTTCCCCAAATCATGCAAGTCGCAATGTTCCAAGGAGTATTAGTTTGCTCGAGAACGGGTATCTGGCCAAGTTCTACCGCTCCAGACCCACTTGTTTGCTCCGCATGGAATGAAGGAAATGCATCACCGTGGATAATGTTTGTTAACCCATTCCCTACAGTGCCCCAAATCTTACACTCCTCGATCCTAAGCCCATACAACCCTGGTCCTTGAGCTCTACACAAACCTTAAGCCTCAAACCTCAAAATCGGCGCTCCTGCTCAGATCGAGGGCGACCCTTCTTTGATTCCTTGCTGGGAGCAAGGTCACAGTGAGCAACGCCCGGCCTGCTTTGCCTCAAGGGTCCGAGTACAACCCGCTAAAGGGACCCCCTTGAAAGCAGAGATATACGAAATAGAGACTACTGTAGGGTTTGGGTTTAGGGAGACGCTTCTGGGGCTCCAGGGTTTAGGGTTCAGGGTGCAAATATGGCCCGAAAACCATGAAGACTCAGTGCGCGGCACATCAAACCTACATGGTTGTTGTGGTCTGGACCCTTTGAGGTAAGCTTTCAGGACCTACTTTACGGGATCATGGGGCTATTACTGGATTCGGGAGCTGCTTACGCAGGGCTGCTGTAGGATTTCTACGGTGCTTCCAGTATTTATGTGTTAGGGTGCGATACCCAGGTCAGCCCCTGAAAGCAGAGCTTTGGGCCCAAGGCTCGGGAGTTTGAGAGGTGGGGTTCAAGAGTCTTGCGGTTCAGGATTGAGGGAGTTGCAGCTGTACGGTGTATACTGACTGCTGCTGCTGCTGCTGCTACTGCTGCTGGTGTTGTTGTTGTTGTTGTTGTTGTTGTTGTTGGACGACCGCATCTTGCACGACCTTGTTTACCAAACCCTAAACGCCTAACCCTAAATCCAAAAAGCGTTATAGCCTCGGACCTTAAACCCTAAACTCAAACGTGACAAGCTGACACTACCAAAGGTCCTTACAACTGCAGCCAGGCATCACGAACTGTGATGCATTTAGTAAGGGTCTCGGGAGACTACTCATATATGAATACAGCTTCTAAAAGAGAGGAGTTCCCCTTATAGAGCCCCAAACTTGCGGAATCCTTATTATATGTGTATGCATTTGGGGATTGCTACAGGGACCCACCTACCCCACTAATCCTTCGGCAGCCAAATGTCCACCTTGAAGCCAGGAAGGCGTGTTGTGAGGATCCACTCTCCGATTGCTTCGATTCCATTTACACGCGGAAGGCCAGCTCGTCATAGCCAAGAATGATGGTTACCTCTTTGGGGCTCATAGGGGTTATATAGGGGTATACAGGGATATATTGGGGTTTGTAGGGTTTAGGGCTTCCTTGAAATTATGCCAAAGAACATGGAACATGAAATGGAAACTGGCGGTAGATGGGAATCGGGGTTTCCCTAAATTATGGGTAGCTTCTGGCGGCCCCTAGAGTAAGGGCTATAGGATATTGGGGTTTATATTAGAAGGATCCCCCTGTCGTTGGGAAGCTACCAAGTAAGATCTCAGTGCTACGTTCAAGGAGGCATCGGAGGTTAGCTTATGCTCCAGAAGTGCAGGCTTTCAGGGATCAAGGGGCAAGCGGTGTTGCATAAATTGCCTCATTTTGAAGGGTTTTGTTGATCTTCATGAATCTTCGTCTAGGTGCAAGGAGGTTTTGAACCCCTTACACTTCTGCTCAAGATGTCTTAACCCCCCTAAGCTTGAAGACGGGTGTCAAAACATTGAGCGTGATTTGTTTCCCCCAGCATGCAACGCCCCTTAGGACATCGTTGAGCTTGCAGTAACATGTTGTGCTTCCTCTCGGTAGGAAATATTCGCCAGCAGCGGGTCGGTATGTTAAATTTCTTGTGAAGCAGACAATCTTGCGAAGATTTCCCTTGCGAAGCCCCTATGCCCATGCACACCTTTAATCCCTGTTTCCCTACGTACATAATTGCTTTAATCAAAATCCTACCGCGCCCTCTAAACCCTTAATCTCTCGACTCTTCAACCCCCAATCCTCAACATCGTGTGCGCCCTACGCTCCCTTA